TCAATAAAAAGCTGCTATCCCAAAACCTACTTATACTAACTATACATGTGGGAAACAAAAGAACTCATCAGCGGTGAAATTCACACAACGGAGACTATTTTTGAGGATCACTGTGCTCTTAAGTCCACATATGCTTACCCAAAGATAGCATATGTGTACATAACGGTACGTAGTGTTCAAAATACACACTCTCTTGAATTCATGGTATATATTCTTGTCTGTAAGTTTTCACAAATCACATTCCGCGTGATCAGGCTCTAGTTTGCTGTGTTCAACAAACTGATTTTTACGAAGATCACATTCAGATTGAAACTAAAATCAAATATTGAATAATCTCCAATCCTTAGAATTAAAGAGAATATCTTAATCATCAGAATCAACCAAATGAAATTCAATAATGTTTGTGAATTCAAACTGCATTATTTTTCATATAAAGGAAAATATCTGGAGAACCTGTTGAAAAATTACGAGAGGAATACACTGCGAGTTTGTAGTGAGTCGTCTTTGAATTCACCAAAGCTTTGGTTCTAATTCACGAGCTTAACCATCACTCTTTTGGACGCAACCCTATGAACGCGTGGATGAAATGTGAATCGACCAACAGAGGGAGAGAGTGCGTGAGGGTGACATGAAACTTCTAGAATTATTTTGTTCTTTCGTTGTCACATGGACCATACGTTGTGAATTATAACGCCGTTTTCAAGCACAACATCGATCAGTTTGATGGACTCAGAGGTGAACCAGTCAACTGTATTAACGTCCAACAGTACATGAAGGGGCTGGCCATAGGCACCAAGCGAATTGATGTGGTCCCAAAACTGAGGGCAGACTGAGATACATGTCTGCGGTATTTTGCTATCTCAGGTCGCTTTTGCTCAGTGGAATGGATATGCCTAGGTACTGACACTGACCGTTTGATGAGCGCATTAAAGAGTCGAGTGATCTGACCAGGCTTGTGGAGTAAAGCTCTCATACCGCGGAGATGAATAACTGGTTTATTGCCTGCAACGTGCGAACAAGTACTGAAACCCGCCTAAAGTACTAAAGTACATGAATGAATGAAAAGTCAGGGACCAATTTTGCACTTCTATTCCGTATTACTTGTTCCTTGGACTCACCGTAAAACCAGCACAAAGCCACGCATTCACAGAATACAATGAACAGTATGGAAATTGGTGCACCGTGTCGATCGAGAAGGTTCAGGATCAGGTATCCTCCCTGTAATTCACAGTGTAGTTCACATAAAAGGAAGAATGACATCGATACACAATTGTTTACAATCAACAAAAAATGTATCAATCTAAAGGAGTGTCGTGGGCATCATCATGCCTGAGATGACTGTGTTTCTCGTTGTAACAGTTTCGACATCAACATAAGATCTACAATGGTTGCATATATCATATTTTTGTAAAAGTAGACCAATGAGCGCGTATTTTTAAACTTTCCAACAAAATTGCTTGCGTCCTCATCTTTGTACCCACTATCAACGAAAATGGTAGAGCAAATTTTATAACTATCTGTAGTTTTACATTAACTTTGTGGGTTGCTTAAGAAGATCATCAGAAATAGCTCACTTCTTAATTACCTTGCCAGGGCTTTGTAATGTTTTCTAAATTCATGTCACGTCAGATGTTACACTGGGGTGAGTCCATGTACACATTGTGGGCCATTCAAGTGTTCCCTGTGAGATTATTCGAGTTGTCTGATCAAAATATCACTTTGTTTTTAGTATTTCTACTCATTTCGTGTGGTGTTGCACACATTTAGCTGTTTCAGATTGCCACTGATATTTGCGTTGGCCGCGGGTCCGCATACATTGTTCACGTTTACCTTCCCAATCGATAAGGCGACCAGTTTCAGTGAGTACATTTTCAATTCAAGCTGCAAAGCATGGCAGCTAAACTGGCCGGCACCCATAAATCCCGTTGAAACGGTCTATGAGAAAGACATTCGAGGCCTTTGAAGACAAAGTGGAAGTCATTAATTTGCACAAGGGTGGAACTTCCATGAAGGGAATTGCATCTGAATCGGCTTAATCAGAACCCGAGCGAGCTTGTTCGTAGAACAAGGTACCAGCACGAATACATTTTGGGAATAAACAATTTGAAGTGCTTGGTAGAGGAACAGGTTCCCGTCTCCTACTATGAGGAGAACGAAAAAGGGGTAGGATAGAATGGGAGCCATGTATGGAATGTATGGCTCAGTTCGTCGTGAATTCCATTTTGATAAGGTCAATTGCTAGTGAATGTCGGTTTTGAGTATAATTTAAACAACCATAGATAGTTTCACGAGAACCTCATCAGAAGGCGACTGGGAACTAACATCTAATCTTCTTATGTAGATTACATTTGGTGCAGTTTGTCGAACGTCACTCTGAAGAAGAAACGTTCCCGAAGAGTTCACTTATTTCACCGATCCGAAGGATAGCCATCCTTCAGGAGGGGGGTGACAGTGACAGTATGATAATATAACTACTTATCACATACAAGAAACATTGCTCTATGAAAAATAACCTTAAAATAAATAGACCCACAGAAGTATTCACCCGGATAGGTTGATGAAATCGATCACTGGACAAAGCATGATACTTTAGTGACGGACTAAACATAAACATTTGACTTACAGACTATTCGACAAAAACATGAGCAGCAACCTCTCCAAAGCTATCATTTTAGAGTACAGTAGCAGCTTTTGCACGTACATACACGCTTCCATACTCATGTACAAAAATATAAGTTTCTCCCGTGGTTGATCGAAGTGATGGTACAAGAGCTCTATGCCAGTTAGTTTTCCCCCTCTAGAACTGTTCACTGTACAGTCCGGTCAAGACCAATTCAGTGCATTTGTTTGAGCTATTAGCGTGGACCGCAATATCACATTTCCTTATGAGTACCTTCAAATTTTGCTTTAGTATATTAGAACTCCAATTCCTGTTGAAAAAGTCAGTCCCTAACAAAGATATTCGCCAGTCATACCATTAGATGCAACCTTTTCATCACGAGTCGCATACAGGCCACTAATCTATGTACGTTTGTTTGATTGTGCATCAGGTCCCATGAAATGGGAATCGTTGGATTGCTAACAAGTGGTCCGTTTTTTTGTTCAAATTCAATCTGCCAACGGTTAGCACAAAACTCATTTTCCACTTACACAGGTGGTTGTGGCTAGAGCGCCAACAAAACAGTAAATAATGATGAACAACACGAACAATTCCCGTCGTCGTCTGAGTTGTGGTATCCGGTCCAGAACAGCGGTGATAATGGCTTCCAGTCCACCAAACTGCAAACAAATCAAACAAATGAGGAAGCACTTCAATTCGAATAAATAGACGTAAAACAACAAAATTTATGAGCACCAACTTGGGGTTAACTGATAGGAATTAGATCGGCAGTCCGCGCAAGTTAAGGATGAAGGAGTAAATCAGTAATCCACCGCATATATACAAATTCATCTCTGTGTTTATTCAAGTGAGTGAGGTTCAGTTTACCTCACAGTCAACATATGCTGATGAACATTTTTATCCCTCTTGGACGAGCTCCTGCAAACGAAATCCATTGAGCGTGCAAAGCAATGTGATCGCACATGATTGCGGATACTGATTTAGTGTTTCTTTTTGCTTCTGTTCCTCTCTGATACACATACCAAATGGGATAAAATAGATTATTTCAACAAAAAAGTGTTTCACTTAGAAAGTTCCCGCATCTGTTCACTTTGTCATTTAGTGTCTCGATTAGTTATATTGTAACCTGATCAATATATTCAGAAGAAAACTCTGCGATAAGATGACAGAAGACAGACAGAATAATCCTCGGAGTTTTATGTCAAGTTAAAATCTCTGAAACCTCGTGCTGCCCGTTCAGGATAAACGAGGCACACATTACTGCTTACTTGTCTTACTACTTGCACGTTTGATAGCCTCAGTGACTCTAAAGTCACGCTAGTCATGATTTTTTGGAAGTATTTATGCGGTTCTAATTTCCATTATCTCTGCAAACCTGTCTAGTGCAGCTGAGGTTCGTAGTACCGTTCTCCGGGACTTTGAAGTCTCAAATGTTGTTTTTTATCGGTTTGGTATCCAGTGAGCAGTCTTTTCAAGTGAAAGGGAGGAATCCTTGTTGTTATGGCTTTTATTCCTACCCAGTCCGAGTGATATGATCTATCATCAACAGGATTCTCTGTTCTCAGATCCGAAATCCGAGGGAGAGGATGCTTGCTGAGATATACATAATGACCGACCCCGATAAAATTCATTCAGAATGACTAGCTAACCGCTCTCCACTTTTCTTAAATGTCTATCCCGATAATGTGGAATTAACAAAAACTGCTTTCTTTTGTGCGTTTCCTGTCGTCTCAACGCATGTAAACAGTTTAATGATATGACGATTCCTGCTGAAGAGAACTGCTTGTAGAACGTAATCTTGAAGCGGTGTCCCGTCCCCCAAAACAGTAAATTCCAACTCCTCTGTGCAAACTTATTCGCATACAGAAGCATCACGACCACTCTGTATCTTGACTGTCTTTTAATAAAGCCTACCTACAATTATCATTTACCTTAGGGATGTACTCTTGCATCCCAGGTTTTACCTGCACTACACTGTCGAATTTATCTCTTTTTTCTAATTCTTATATCAATATATATCTACTGTGTAAACTCTTAACCTGCTGATAATTTATCTTTTAGGTAACCTAAATCTTGGTCGCTAAAATCGCTTTCATAACAAATCCTTCGGCGTAATCAAACAAATGAGTAGTGATAATGACAATGTTTGTCAAAGTCAAAGTCAAAGTTTTATTATGGGAATAGCTCACAAGCTGGTGCTTCTCTTGTCCCATAGGATATTTACACAGATGAATCGTTACATATCGAAAAAGGAGTCGCATAGAGATCCGGGTAGGAGATAGACAATGTAGCTTACAGTGAATTTCCGTTGGCCTTTAGCGTACGAATGTGAGGTGTGCCAAGGTTTGGTCGAGCCTCTGCTTGAAAGATTCAATAGTGGGTGCATAAACGACATGAGATGGAAGGGCGTTCCAAGATTTGCAT